GATAAACATATGAAGGAATCTCCAACTATGATCACTTTTAGTTCCATCCATGAATTGTGCTTTAGAAAGAAGTTGATCTGGTGTATCTCGGTGCATCTCATTAACGTTGATCTACAATTAGGATTGATCCAAGGATGGAGATCCCTTCTTATCTTTCTCACCATCACTTTCCTTCTCATAGAAATCTAACCCTATATATATTGGGTTGGATTTTGATGAGAAAGAGAGTTACAGTGAGAAGTGTAATAAATGATCTCTACCCTTGGATGCACGTTATGATGAGATGCACTGTATCAATCTTTATATCAAGAGCGATTCATGGGTGTTGAGATTGAAGGTGATCAAGGGTTCATATAATTTCTTATACTTCTCACCTTAACTCTCCTTCTCACACAATCCTTCGTCTATATATATATATATATATAAGGGCCGCTTCAAACGAGAAGACATTCATTTTGCAAGAAGGCGAGAAGGAATCCTGACCAACTACCTAATTTAATCAACGGCTATGAACCATCAATTTAGAAATTATACGGCAAATCCCCTCCTAACCGGGTCCTCTCTCCTTTTCACCTAGACGACAACCTTCTTGAGGACTTATATACTAAAGTCGACCATTGTTCACCAGAATAATCAACGTTCTTAGGTGTAACGACCATTGCATTTTGAATACTCGTTGTGATTGATGGATGGAAGAGGTAAATTACCATCTTTTGTGATTATTAGGCATTTGATTTCAAAATTTTAACCTAGGATTGATATTAAGTTCGACTAATGATATTGTATGTAGGGAGGAGGAAAAGCAGTAGACTTGCCAAAAATGAGGGTTTTGGAAATGTAAAAACACAACAGATAAGCCCTTGATACTAGAGGATGAAACTGATCAGACATTGAAGGAGGGCATAGGTAAGTTTTCTAAAAATTGCAACGTAGTTTCTCTATTGAAATTGCAACGTAGTTTCTCAATTGAAATCATATGTGATTGTGAAACACGTAAGGTATGATTTGAATATGAACTATATTGAATACATGGAAGCATGTATGAGTATTTGGTAATCATATGTGATTATAGGAGGTAAGATATGATCAAATTATGTGCTATATGATCAGATATGTTGAAATTTTGTATTCTTCCGAATGAGTGTATGATTTGAATATGATTTCAAGCATAAGTGTTAGTGTGATTGTAAAACATATGTGATATTAGCTAGTAATCATATGTGATTATAAAGGAGATAAGACACAATTTAAATATGGTCTACATGATATCAGATGTGTTGAAATTTAGTAATTTTTCCATCAAGTGTGTGATTTGAAATCATTAATGGTTTCAAGCATAGGTGTTCGTGTGATTGTAAAACATATGTGATATTAGCAAGTAATCATACGTGATACCATGTAATCATATATGATAATAACAAGCAATTGTTTGTGATAATACCAAGTAATGCTATTTGATATTACTAATTAAGCATATTGTAATTCTACACAATTTTAGGAAAACATAAGTAATCGAAACCTATCAAAGTACATATGTTATTCTATTATGTTCATGAACTATGGAATCATATGAGATTACTTGCTAAGTGGAAAGTGTGTATTAAATTTGTTATGCTTTGACATAAATAATGACATATTAACTGGCATTTAACATATGCAAAATTGTGACAGGAATAGCAAGACTGCCGCTAAAAATATGAGTCCCTAAAAACACGTGAACAAAAAAACAAGCTAGATTGACAACGAGGAAAAGAACGATACAAGTAGTGGATGACTCAGTGGCGGAGAAATCACATGGCATTCAAGGTCAACAGTTAGAAGAAAGAACAAAAAAGAAGCAAGATGAATCAGTCCATAAAGCCAATAGGAAATGAACATATTGAATCGGGTCTTGAAGATGTTATTGAAAGGAATGTGATTAAGAAAAATAATCACATGTGTGATTAGGTATATGAGTCAAATATATGATCTCCAAAAAAAATGTTCAAAACAATGAAATAATAGCATATGATTAAGTACATGATTCACAAGTCATTAAACACAAAATCACAGATGTAATTAATAAGAAAGACCAATCAAATATGATTTTTCAGTCTAGCAAAACCTGTATGATTGAAAAGAAAGATCGCACTTGATATCCACTTAACATATGATTAAGTTCATGAATCACGTATTATCTCCAATCAACACACATGTATTTTGAAAATTACAAGCACACACACACACACACATATGAAAAAATAACTTGAATCAACTGTCATTAACATGAATATCACACATGATATGTATTCAACAAACACATGTTCGATATTGAAATAAGCACTTGTGATTGAAGAACATATATGATTGTCAACGTGAAACATATGTGATTAAAATGACCAATCACATATGATTACATACATGAATGCTCCATAATAGATCATTTGATAATAAAGTATTGAAACATATGTAAACGCCTAACAACGGTATTTTGAAAAATTATGATTGCATATACCTCTAGAAATTGAACAATCAGTAATAAATAAACTATGTCGACCATACCATATGCGAACATACTACTGAGATGTGGCTTTTTTGATGGGGAAATTACGAGAGACATGGCGAGCAAATTCACCACAACCTTTACAAACCCTTTTCAAACAAGGATTCTTCTTTAAAGTTTCTCTCCTGAACCAATCAACCGTTTTCCGGTGCCACAACCTTTACAAACCCTTTTCGAACGATAATTCTTCTTTAAAGTTTCTCTCCTAAACCAGTCAACCTTTTTACGGTGCCACAACCTTTATTTTTAATGCCTTCAAGAGGAAGTATCTCAAACACTCTCTCTCATGTCGGACCTCCCAAAAGATATTCAAGTTCATCATCTTTACTGTAACAAACATAATGTATTGGGCATCTGGTGCCACTTCAATTCCAACTTTAATTCACGAACCTTGTCAAATAACCGATATAGTTTCTCCTCAATGTAACCTATTGAAAAGTTGATAATCTCATAATGAATATCCTTATGTAATCTGTCAACAAGATTGCTCCTTCATGCCTCAGTTCTTCGAGTACGAAGAATATCCATTGGAATTACACCCCTCATCCATCGCTTTAAGAATGTACTGTTGGAGAATATTTTGGGCATCAATGTTGAATTACACGTGGAATATATGGTGACAAAAAATCCCATAATACTGAAAATGTTGGCAACTACAAACTAAAGATCCATCAGACTTAGATCGGACAACCTGAATGGAAATAAAATACAAGTTACCATTATGTAATTTGTGAAATGACATCTATGAAGGTTGAGGATATCAAAATATCACATGACAATTTTTATCACATGTGATTATGAATGCTTAATCACATGTGATTAACACAAAATTGTTCATGTATCATTTTTATATCAACATATTCTAGAAACACCATGAGAATAGTCAGAAGCAATCATATGTGATTGACGGCTCCAACAAACAACAAGGAAACCTAACTGAACCAATGCGTTATCACATATGATTATTTAGTATGAAAACATATTTTGAAACATGTCAATAAACACACAAATTATAGGAACAGTTCCAACAAGCAAATAAAAATAAATGAACAATCAAGTGATATCAAAGATGATACAACAAGTGACAACACAAATGATACTACTTTATAATTAATATATTATCAAAATGTATATTTGTCATTAATCACAAGTGATTACAAAAATGTTCAACTTCATTAATTCAACACAAAATCATATCATATGAACAAATTCAATTGAAAAACATATGTAACCACATATGAACACCATACACTTACTCTACAAATCAAAGATATTTATCAACAAAAATTACAAACATATTATGAAAATCTAACTTGTTGCATTTTCATCATCCGAAAACAACTCAATTTCGTCGGAATTATCATCATCAGATAAGTTGTATGAAAGGAATTTCATAATCAAAAAACATGGGACCTGGATCCATTAATCAAAATGGCAAGAATTAAACCTAAAAGAACTGAAACTTCGAATTCTGCAACAGTTCTTCAAGAACAATAACAAAAAATGAGATTCCGAATTCTGCAACAATTCTTCAAGAACGTATGAAAAAGAATCTTCCAACAAAAAACGGATCATATACAAGTTAAATTGATTTAGATAGGAATTAAATTTTAATTTGTAAGAAAATCATATCCCGATTTGTTAGGTATAGCATCGGGTTAAAGATAAACCCAACCATACAAAGTCGAAAATACCCTTTTATTAACAATTAATAACTATTAATTAAAACTTCAATTTTATTAAGTGATTAATCAGAATTACCTTTTCCTTTTTTTTTCATGAGACCATATTTTTATACTTGAAACTTCACAGCAAAACACTTCTAAAAATAATCTTCACAATATTTTTGTTGTGAAGGTTCAAATTTTTTTATCTTCACAATATTTTGCTGTAAAGTTTCAAGTGTAAAAATGTGGTATTACGAGTCTCACGAAAATAGGATGGTCTCACGTGAACCCAAACATATATAGGGTTGGGTTTACGTGAGACCAACATGTTTTCGTGAAACCACTTTTTTACACTTAAATCTTCACAGCGAAATACTTTGAAGGTAAAAAAAGCCGAACCTTCACAACAAAAACATTGTGAAGGTTACCTTTACAACATTTTGATGTGAAGTTTCAAGTATAAAAATATGGTCTCACAGATTTCATGAAAACAAGTCACGTGATACCAAGTATATATATATATATATGTATATATATATATATATATATATAAAGTTAGTGGATCCGACTATTCTCGTTTCCGTAGTGATAGTATTTTATTATATTATGATTATTTTACACTTCTACCATATGATTTTTATTTATATATTATTGTATTTTCATTTTACTATTTTGCAGTTTTAAGATATATATATATATATATATGTGTATATATATATATATATCATGAAATAAAAATAATAAATTAAATGACTAAAAAAATAAAATACGAAGAAACCATTGAATAAAATCTTTGGTAAGAAATGATGATGAAATTACAGTTTTAGCCCCCACCCAAAAATCCAAGAAACAAAAAGAAAACACATGCAACTTGTTTTCATCACAAATTAGAAACGTGTATCTCACAAGTTTTTAGTAAACTTTCTAAGCCAATAATGTATACATAAATTTAATTTATCATCTTCTGGTTATTTTTCACATGTTGAATTGCTGTTTTAGAAACCAAATGTCCTCAACGTTCCACAAATTGTCAGAGAAATCATCGTTGCCGCCGTCTGACCATTGGTTGTTTTGCTCCACCATCGCCTGAAAATCCATCCCTGGATTGAAGTAACCCGACGGGCTAATTATGGTGTCCGCAAACCCGCCACCGATCGGGTTATTGTGTTGAAAGAAATCTTGATTTTGGCTTTGGTTGGCCGGATAATAACAATCGGTCAAGTCGGAGACAGGTGACACCGCGGTGGTGCTTGAATTTTCCGGGGTGTAGCTAGGGGTGATTTGGGCATTTCCATAATTCGAACAAATGTTGCCACAATTGTTGTTGTTGCCCTGAGGAACTACCAGTTGGCTAGTAACGATATTATCCATATTGTTGCTTTGGTTGAGCGGGTAAGAGTTTGTGGTGGTGGCGGTGGAGGTAGTGGTGGTAGTGGTGGTGGAGGAGGAGGAGCCACCGGTGGTGGCGGTTGTGGTGGCAGCTGCCTGAATCCGTTCCACAAGTCTTGGCATCCAAAGATACCGCATCGTGTCCTTAAATTGCTTGCTGTTAACATCACATTTCAATTGTTTTGCATGCTTTTGAACTCTCGTTCTCCAATAATTCTTAATTTCATTGTCCGTTCTCCCCGGCAAGTGCTGTGCTATTTTTGACCATCTGAAAATAAACAACATGGTTACTTAAATGAACCCAATCATATTATTACAAACTAAAACTTTTTCACAAAAACGAAAACTTTCACGTACCGATTGCCCCATCGAGAGTGAAGTTCAAGAATCAAGAGCTGTTCTTCGAGCGTGATGTTTCCACGACGAACATCGGGTCGTAAATAATTCAGCCATCTTAACCGACAACTCTTTCCGGTTCTTTTGAGTCCTGTTAACGAATTCCATCAAAATTAAGTATTTCTTTCGATAAAATGTAACAAAAAAGAAAAGAGACATAGAATTGGTAAAGTTTATAGAGGTTCGTAATACCCTAATTAATAACTAATAAGCACTTCTTTGCATCCATCATATCATTCCCTTTCTAAAAACTTTAAGAACCCGTCAATTTAATTCGCTTTTTTGAGAAGATGAATCAAAAAAGACGAAAACCCAGTATTCACAACAAGTTATAACTTGATCGGAATTCATTACATATGCATGGGTGTCGCCGGAAAATAGAGATCAGTAAAGCACAAGGTACAAGACATACCAGCACAACGAGCAAGAGAATTCCAGCGGCCTTCGCCGTGATGGGCGATGTAATTGATGAGAGTGAAATCTTCTTCCACCGTCCATGGACCTCTTCTAAGATCTTCCATCATGCTCATTTGATCATCGTCTTCACTACCACCCATTTCCAAACAGTTGTTGCTGTTCATCTGATCCTTTTCTCTTTGATCTATGTGTGTTTTTTGGTGTGTTTCAATGTGTGTGAGAGAGAGAGAGAATATAGAGTTTGAGAGAGAGAGAGAGAGAGAGAGAGAGAGAGAGACAATTTATTGATACTCTAAGGGTGTATTTTCCGGCTTAGGATGGGGAGAGGGTAGGGTTTATATAGATACATAATCGTGTGTGTTTAGTGTGTGAGAGAGAAAGAGGGATGAGAGAGAGAGCCGCAATAGTGAGAGGCTGTGGGTGGGGAGGGGGGTCACTATAAATAACCCTATAAATTAATTTTAAAATTAAAATTAAAAAGCCAAAACGAACCAAGTATTTTTATATAAAACAATTTAATTCATGTAATTATGTCCATTTTATAAATAAAAGTTGTGATATGTTAGAATATATTTTATACATAAATAAATAAATATTGATTTAAACCTAAACTAAGATTCCCAAACCCAGATACAATTAGCGTTATTAATTAATAATTTTTTTTATTAATCTGGATATCCAACCCGTTATGCGAGCCAATTATTTACAGGACGACCACCTGCTTTGTAAATAACCCGAATTCACCGTATTTAAATATCTATGGCCACAAAAGAATTTTTTATTTCTACTTAAATTTAAACCTGAAATCTTCTAGTATTTTTGACTTTTGAAATAATATTTTTTTAAATTTTACGAATTGAACCGAATGGTGGAATAATTAATAATTAATAAATAGAGTTAGAGAAAGAACACGTGTGGGGTGATGTTATTGATAAAGTCGGCCTTGGGAGTTTGACACTTTGACTTTCTTGGCTTTGTTGGATTTGTGTTGCAAAAGTGAGAAATTATAAGAAAGATGGTAGGTCCCTACAAACTTATGTTATTTCTACTTTCTCTACCTAAAAAGTGAAGTCATTTGTTCTTCAATTTTGAGAGTTCCCATTTGCTAACAACACTTCATAAAAACCCTAATCAATTCATGGAATTAAACAACTACAAAAGATTTAATGAAGAATGTATTCTTGACATGTATATTAATATCGATTTTTACTGATCTCTAGCGGCAAACCGGCCTATTATATGCAGCTAAGCTAATATGCGCCGAAGAAAGCCACGTGCTGTAGGCAAGCTTTATTCGGCCTGGAACATTGATTCCCAATAACGAATAGGCTAGCTCTATCTCTCAATTACCTATCGTGTGTTCGAGAAGGTCCCTCAGTTCCTCGGCAGCACCTCGAGGAGCATTTAGTTGTTGAAAACAAAAGCTTCCAAAAGTAGTTCCTCAATATAGGAATATGCATAAACTGTAGCTCGAAAGAGCTGACCCTAAGCTATTAAATAAAATGGAGTTTGAATGAGTATGGACTTCTATCAAATGCTAAAATCAGATGAAAATCCAAATTACAGTTTACATTTTTAAAGAAAAATGAAAAAAATGATGGCCAAAGAAGGTGATAGCCCTGTAGATTCCTTCCCATGGTTCGATCCTTCTCCTTTGGCGTTCAATAAGTAGAGGATCAGGGCAAAAATATTTGATTGTTGATGATTAGATATTATCTTTTACTGTCAACGAAGAAAATATGGTTTAACTTTGTTAAGAGGTAAAAGTATTGTTGACATAAGTTTTTTTTGAAGTATATAATATTTTTATACGGCAAATGCAATAAATAAACTCACACACCCTCCTCACTTTTGGTGAGGTTTGAACCCTTAACCTCCTAAGAAGCCAAGGGCTACGATACCGCTAGACTGAAAGCCCTTTGGTTTGTTGACATAAGTTGGTGGCTGAAATTAATAGGAATCGTCTAAAGGATGGGAATCTAATAAGCAAGTTATTATTTTGAAGAGTTGTCGGTTTAAGCGATAAAAATCATCTGTTACTCCTTTTCTATTCCTGTCCTAACACCATGTAGGATATTGATGCACCATCTTCTTCTCTCTCTTACTACCATTCAATTCATATGTGCACCCTCCCCATCCTTTACATTTACGTATTAGCTCCATACATTTACACATTCGAGTTTTGATTGAAGGAGTAAGGAAGAAAACAATGGAGGGATAACTAGTGATTTTTAATGCAATAACCCTTACCATCGTTAGTGATATGCACATACTCGTCTATCGAATTTCTATCTCTACATGTTGATTTATCAACAACTTTTTATAGGGGGTTGTTATTTGCACCCCCAGCTATTAAAAAATTCAAAAAAGATACCTATTAATAACATTAAATTGTCTAAAAGTTTGAAAAACTTTTTCTCTCTCATATGTTTCCTCTCTTACTTTTTTTTAATTAATAGATAATAATAATTATTAATTTATAGTAATTATAATTTTTATTTGTATTATATATTAATCAAATTTAAAACAAATAGAAAATTTAGGACATATACATAATGAGATAAAATCAACTAAGAGAAAGCCTAGAATTTAGGGTAAATAAAACAAATCAATNTTAACCATATGTATATAGTCGTATAGTTTGTCCTTACAAAAATTGAATAAAAATTTTAAAAATTCATATGCAAATTCTTAATTTTTATTTTATCTATATTTTCATATAATATATCATTAATCCTTCTACAACTTTAAAAATTTAGAAAATAATCCATAAAAAGGGAAATAAAATTTGTATTTTCATTCACAAGTAACCATTTCAACATTCTCTTTTTACGATTTCGAACTTGTTAAAGGCTAGTTAGAAAAACGATTTTCAATGTCGACCCACCAACTCAGGAACCTCATAGGCATAATTGTCCAGACACGTCAACATTTGTAGAGTTTGATATTTTGGTGAACAATAAACAAATGAGACATAGTTCATACTTCGACCAAAAAAATTATGCACATCTATACATTAATCAATTTCCAAGTATTTTCCATCCTTACATGGTGTAGGTACGTAACGTAGTCCATGCAAGTTATTTTTTTTATTTCAATGTATTAATCAATTTTTAAATAATTTTCATTTTTACATCACAAAGGTATAAGATGCAAAAGGCGAAATAAACTGTGGATTTCAGGCGATAGCTGTTTGTCTCGGTTGCCACGAAGATGAATGGCCATCTACTTGATATGATTTAATGGAGGAGTTAAACATGTACAAAACAAAATATCTCGAGGTGTATGACATTGAACTATTGTATTAGCTTTATAACTCCTTGAACTTCTTTGAGCTAGACTCATTTGCACCAAATGAGCATTTGATGGATGTTTTTGGAACGGGCTTGTTGATTGCTTCAAGATGCAATGTGATACTACATTCTTTAGCAACTATAGGTAGCATGACACTCTTCCCACTTCGATCTAGTCCTCCACCGTGGTATGAACATGTTGTTTTTACAATTTGGTACGTTAACGATAATCATTACGTCAATATTTTTTGCAGAAGGGCACCCGATACCCTCTATCGTGCCAAATTGGTTTCGTTTCAAATATTATTGCGCAACCGCATTGGCTACTCCGTACATGACCAGAATAAATAAGTACTAGCAACTGTTATCTAGTAATCCTACTACGAAATTTATTTCATTTGATTGAGTTATAATATTTTCAGAATTTTGTACCTTATTTGTTGATTTATCAATTAACTTATTTTAATGATCTTTTTTGTATTAAATTACTTTATCTTTGTAGCTTTAAACATTTAATTAAAAAATTTACATATATAAA